GCAGCAGGTCCGTCTTGGAGCCAGCTGGCATTGGCTCTATCCAACATAGGGAAAGCTTCTAGCAGCTTCTCACAGAAGCCCCCCTTATAGCCCCCCTTGCTCCCAAAACCTTGCCATGCAAACCCAATACGAAAGGCCAGAGCAGGACCCAGAAGCTCTGTCCCCTGGGTCCAAATATAACCTTTTTTTCTTTTTTCCGTAAGAAAAACACGGTGTGTTTATAAATTGCTCTTTGCCAAATGACTTGTTCTTAAAGAGAATTACACTGTAATAAGCTGCATCATTAAAAAGAATTTTTTCTGTGAGCAGCAGAGCCTGGTTTCCTGCGGTTTGGTGTCTCATGATGGGATTATCTGACATCTAATGAGGAGCACTCTGGCTGAAGCCTTTTCTCCTGTTCAGAAAGACATTGTCTCATGTGGGTTCTCTGGTTTCTATAATACATTTGGGATCAAGCTGCAGTTGTTTAGGTTCTCTCCTGTCTGACACTGTAATATTGCCCATGTGGCAAGCTGTTCCTCCCTGGAGCCATGAAAGGGTCATACTTCTCTACCTTGCTGCTTCTTCTCACAAAACTGGTTGAAAACTAAAACCTTTGAGACTTCTGTCACACAGTTAAATTTGACTGAAATTGGCCAACAGGCTAAAAGATAATTGAGAATAATACTGGACTGACACAACAATATAATAAACCTGATTTTATTAGGTAATTGGGCAATAAATGACGGAAAGTAAATACTGGAGCAGATTAAACATGGAAAAAAATGTTCATAAATATTTATTCAACCATTTAAATGCACCCAAGGTGACCATTATATGCCTGTTTTGCATTTCAATTTTAGAGGTTCTATTCACAGCCATATGAAAGACTAACAAGGGCACAGACACCCCAATAGCTACACTCATACCTCAAAAGTAAAAGTAAAATAATAGTTTTCTGTGAGACCTCTTTTCACAGAAACAGGGAATTTTTAAATGTTTCTTTCAGAATATTACAAAATTTAGAATTTAGAAACAGGAATGTTGAATAATTCAGAAACTGGATTTTTGAGGATGATTCTTACCTAGTCAGAGAATAAAAATAGATCATATGGTTTGTGCTGGATTTCCAGAATTTTCAGTAAACCTGAACTGAACAAAGTCAGACCAAAAATCCTTTGCTGAAGTGATTGACGGAAATGTTTCAAAAATATGAGATGTGAAAGGGAATTCTCAATTATTTGCGCGCACACACACACAAAATCACAAATGAAGGAAAGAAGAAAGATACATTGAATAAATTGCTCATTGTGATTTATTTTCCCAGTTCCTGAGCCATAGAAATGTGCTCATCATAAAGTGATTTTTGGAGATACTTGTATTTTCTTACCTTGGATACAGTTTAGATGGATGAGCTACCATTGCTCTCCATGCTTATCAAATTAGGAGAATGCATTTCTAAATTCAATTACATCCTCGGTGGAAATGGTTTCTCTGACTCTGGTAATCTTTGGAGAGGAATTATACACAGTCTATAAAGCTTCACATTTCAAAACCTAATTTTGAATGTTATTCAAGAGGTTAATTTAAGATTCATCTTCCTAAAGAGGAGTTAAATAAAACTGATAGAAGGCTGGAACTTGTCGAGTGGTTGAGAGGTTTATCAGCATGTGAGAATGAGTTCATTAGTTTTAATTAGTATAATCACTAATGTTGCATTAACAGTTTGGTGAGAGAAAGTAATTGCTCACACCCACTGTATTAGATTGGGAGATTAGAATTCATTTTATGAGGCAATTAGCATTTCAGGGATTTTTTAAAAGGCTTTTACGATCTGCCATTGCAGTAGCCTCCTTCACCAAAAGAGTTTAAATTAACCATAACTTTCATCCTAATGGGATGCAAAAATTAATGTAGAATTAAGTGTGAACCAGTCCTCTCCAGCAATCCCACCATGATAAGCAGGCAGCTAAAGCCACAAACCTCGATTAGTTTATAATGACCTGTTTTATTTCCCAGACAATGACAGTCATTTATCTGACCTCAATTCATTATCTTGTTGGAAAGTTTATATTCTTGAATTTTATACAGCAAAACAAATAGAAAATGAGGAAGGAAAAAGTAGAACAGTACTGTGGAAGTAATAATTCTCCCAAGAAAAAGCTGCAAGGTTCAATAATAGGGCTTAAATAGTCAATTATTCTTCATCTCAAATGTCAGAGGAAGAAGAAACATCTTCCTTTGACACCCAGTGTCTTGGGAAGAGCCATGCACTACGCAGCAGCAGAGATCACAACCCTGCTCTGCCCGTCACATCCCTTGGCAGCTACTGAGAAAATGGAAATCCTGAACGGAGATCCAGGACTTTGTCATCCAGGTTGGAAAGGAAGCCCTGATCATCTGAGAGTTGGGACAGTTGACCGAAGAGATTGCCTTCCAAAACATCCTGCAAAGCAGAAGTGCAAGTTCTAGGGGGAAAGACTGTATGCAGTAAGAACTCTTACTCTCACAACAAGGCTGTAATGAAAGGCATCACAGTACCCACAGAGAGATGAGACAACGCACCGTTTGCAACGTATCTGGCACCCATTATACAGGACTATGCTTATCCCTGGTTAAAGCAAATGTCTGCTCAAAAATAGTTGAACAAAGCCCAATTCTGCTATGACTTGGATGTGGCATGGAGGAGAACAACTGTTAGATCTTAGAACCATACTGTTGTTCCTGTAATTTTGGGTACACATGTTAAAACGAGGAGACATGGAGCAGTATCCATGAATCTTTCTAAAACATGTTAAAGCAAAATGTACTTATATATATATATATATATGTACTTTTAATTCTTTTAGTCCTTATAAGCATCTCCAAAGGAGTTCAGAGGGAGACATTTTCCTTCTATGTTTAAGCATCTAAAATTTAGGTACAACCAGAGAGATTGGATCTCAGCCTTAGTCACTCTGGCAGCAGCAGGTGCCACTTTTAGGAGGTGAATTCCTCCAGCTAAGATCTGAATCTGCCACTGGGAAGGGCTGCCTCCCCCTCTTGACTGCAGAGGCAGTCCAAGGTAACCGGGTTTCCATCTCAGGTGGCTGAAGTAAATGCTTAAAATTAGGTAGGATGAATCATGACTGGCATGCCTGTGCCTTAGGGTTTGTCTACCCACAGAATTATTGCAGAGAGCCATTACTCTTCCTGAATAGCTTTACATGTGGCTACACTTTTGCTTGAATAAGACTTACTCATTTCTCTTCAACAACATCCACTTGACAGAGGCAGAGCAGTTTGCTTCCTAGTCCTCATGTGGAATTATTCTGCAAGAGCTTCTGCGTTTTCAGCTAGCTGCCTTACCTTAATCCAAATTTCCTTTAGTAAAAAAATGCTGTTAATTTCCCATCCATCCACCTTTGAGAGCCATTTAAGATTTATGGAGGTAAGCACATCAATTAAGCACAAATACATTGACAAAAAAAAATGAAGGTATCATATACAATAAAAACTGACTTTTATTTCACAAATTATGGGTGTTATAAAGCATACTGTTTCAGGAGAAATGCCTGTTTTTGCCGGTGTGTTTCATTAAAGAATAATAAAGCCATACATATTTCATTCCCTTGTTCAGAGCTGCAAGAGCCTAAACTATATAAAGCGCCCCATGCTGTCCTTGCTTTGTTGGGCTTTTTTTTTTTTTTAATCAGATTTTTCCCCCCAAACTAATGAAATTGCTATTTAAACACATACATCACTTTCATTTGAAGTGACTTATCATGGCTCAAATAGTTTCTCTCTTCTCCTGGAGAACAAGGCAACTGCCAGCACCTTTTGCTGTGCAGCTCCAAGCCTGGATTGCCCCTGATCTCAGGCTGATTTCAGCAGTGCTGAGTTCCTGGTGTTCCCACCGGTGCTCTTTTAGGTGGGGTATTAGGTGGCTGGTGTCTAGGGGGTCTGCACCTTGTGTATCTGCACTGGTTCCTGGTCCACCTGCTATCACGTGTAATTTCTCTCTTCTCGTAGTATGCACCAACCCGCTGTGCAGCTGCACAGACGTCCGTGGAGCAAGGCATCCTTCCTCCCTGCCATCACCACGAAGCAGTACATGACCCCCAGCTGGTTCCCTGCACGTGCCCACTCTTCTCCTGCCCATGGGAAGGGCACCTGGAGGTGGTGGTGTCCCACCTGAGGCAGACCCACCGCATCAACATCCTTCAGGGGGCAGAGATTGTCTTCCTGGCCACGGACATGCACCTGCCCGCACCCACGGACTGGATCATCATGCACTCTTGCCTTGGCCACCAGTTTTTGCTGGTCCTCAGGAAGCAGGAGAAGTATGAAGGCCACCCCCAGTTCTTCGCTACGATGATGCTGATCGGCACGCCGACCCAAGCCGACAACTTCACCTACCGGCTTGAGCTCAACAGGAACCAGAGGCGCCTTAAGTGGGAGGCGACCCCCAGGTCGGTACTGGAGTGTGTTGACTCTGTCATTTCTGATGGGGATTGCCTTGTGCTGAACACTTCCCTGGCTCAGCTCTTTTCCGACAACGGAAGCCTAGCGATAGGAATCGCAATAACCACCAGCAAAGTTCACAACACTGAAGCTGAAATGTGAGGGGGAAGAGGAAGAAGAGGAGGAGGAGAAACAATGGTGCTCTAGCTGCCTTGTGAGAGCCAGAACTTGCGGACTTCTCGGGGGGGTCTCAGGTCTTTTATGGTATTTAGTACTCGTCCACAGTGGGCATTATGTAAACATCCTGTGGTTACGGTCTCTGTGTAATGTATTTACCGTTTTGTTAATACAATTTTATGAGAAATTTTAAAGAGGCTAATCAATTTATTGGCACTCTCCAGCAACACTGGAAACAACACTTTCTCCTGGAAAATGCAGCCAGGGTGGTTCAAACCTGTGGCATGAGCATGCTATGCAAATGTGTTTCCTTCATTGTCTGCCTAATTGCCTGGTACTAAAGAGGCCCCTGTGCCTGGTAAAAGGTAAAGTATTCCACTAAGGGACAAGAGCACCCAGGTTTCCATGCTAGCAACAGTGATTTTACTCTTACACTGTGGTCACAACCAAGCCCCAGGGAGCTTGCAGTTTCAGAGCTCCCTTCAGCTTCTGAGAAAGCAACATTCACCATCCAGACAATGAAAGTTTCAGAAGAAAAATTCACCACCTCCACTGACCTGGGGTCTCGGAAGCCTCATTCTGCATTAAATCGGGGATGACAGCTAGTGGGTGGTCACTGTGAGCGTGGTTAAATCTCACTCTTGTATCATGATGGGCAGTGAGAAGCTTGCTATATGGTCTGACTTCAGGATGGATATAACCATAGCCAGCTATCGGGGCATTGACCTTTTTAGCTGCTGTTTCCTTAAGCATTCAAAAAGAGATTTTCAGAAAATAAAGTATCAGGAAGGTCCTAAATTGTGTACTGATCTTGCTATTGAATTCTGTGCCAGTAAGATCCACAACATGTGCTGCTAAATATTGATTAAAGACAATGCAGCTGGAATATCTGTTTGCAAATTGGCTAGGGATTTGAAATGTTCTCCTTTAAAAATAACCTTCCCCTCCCCCCCCTCCCCCCAAATACTTGGGGGTGATGATGGTCCCTTTCTTTCTGCTGAGGGTGTTTCACAGATGGTGATGGTCACAAGAAGAAATGGGCTTCTCTAAGAGCTTCTCCCTTGGATGGCTTCTTGGGGAGAGTCAGAGGCAGGTGCTGGCCATCTCCTGGCCTCAGTCCCATCTGCAGGCAGGTGTGTTTCCTCCATAGCCAACAACAGCAGTGAAATCCCACCACAGCGGCCGACGTGTTGAAGGAAGGGGCTCTACAGTGAGTGTGACACACAAGAAGTATGGGAAATTGTCTTTTCCTGTTTCCCTTCTGTCCATGTGTGGCTGTGGTCTGGCTTGCTCCTGAATGCTTTTTTGAGAAACATCTGGTGGGTTGTGTCAGTTAGTAGCTGGAGAGATTGAGGCTGTTTGCTTGAGTCCCTTGGAAAACAAAGGAAGGGAGGAAGCGAGCTAAATACAGTCCTTCAGCATTTCAGAAGGCATCTTGCTGTAGCTAGCTTTGGGTAGGGAAAAGCTCTGATGCTAATGTCTCCCACCTGCTGCTCTCCTGGGAATTATTATAAACAACGCGTGAAGTAAAACAAATTGCAATTTTCCTGAGATGAATGCTATGCAGGTAATGCCTTCTGAGTTGCAGGTGCACCTCGTCTCCTTACCTGAGCTTTCATAGCAGGTCACTGCTCAAAGAGGAGCCAGGATCTCAACAGGCTACTCATGACCGTGCAAGCTGAGGTCTGAAGAAGTCTCAGTCCCTGTAAGAGTAAGCTGGGGCATACCTTTACGGCTCTCCCACCTCAGAATTTGGGGGACAAGGGGGCACACTGGTTTGCAGTGCTTTGCTGGAACACACAGGCTTCAGAGTGGCTTGCTTTTTTCCTGTGATGTTAAATATTCAGAACCAGCAACTGCTGCCCTTTCCCTAAATGATGGCAATAAAGAAATCATTGGCATTTTTGTGGACTCTAACTGGCTTCTCCAGCTCCTCAGGCAAATATTCTGCTGCTGAATTAAAACAAAGCAAAAGCAATAAAACCCCAATATAAACAGTTCGTCTTGCTTAAACTTCCTGAGGTCTTTGTACACTGTGGTAGAGACCTATGTAATGCTGCTTTTGTAGTTTGATCACAACGAGTTCTAGGGGAAGGAATATTCCTTGGGTATTCACTTGTTTCAGACTATTTAATTTTGCTAGTTGGCACCTTTTGTTCTTGAAATATCTACTGAAATTAAGAATGTGCTGTTGGTATTTTTGGGCATGCCCCTCGTCAAAAGATCAGTGTATTTCTGGCAGGATGAGTGTGACAGCAGCAGTTCTCCAGGATGGGCATTTCCATCCCTTGCCAGCATCCTGGTTTTCTGGTTTTGATGAGGCAGGAGGCACAGTGGAAATCTGACCTCCCCAACACAGACCTCGTCACATCCCACATGTCCTTCTCCCAGGGATTTCTCATGACCACACCAAAAGTTCAGCCTTTCTATTTCCTTCCCAGTCCTCATCTGGTGGCCACCCTTCTCAGCCCACTCCCAAGCTCTCAACCTGGGCTTCCCCCTCCAGCTTGCAGAGCCCATGGTGCTGCTTGCCTCCTCCTGCTCTGCCTCTTGGGTGCCATTGCTCAAATCTTTCTCACTGCTCTTTGCAGCCAACCAAGAATCCTCCTCACTTGGCTCTCTCCACAGCTGCAAAGTCCCAGCTCTGGCAGGGCTTTCAGAAATCCAGATACATTGGAGTACTGATGAAAATCTGCCCAGTAAAACTCCCAGTACAGAAAAGGAGGACACATTTTGGGGAGAAAGGTGATATGGTACCTAAATCCAGCCTTCATAAGCATCTCAACATAAAACTAAAATGTTAAAGGGTATATTTAAGGACTTTCCACCATGAAAGACATTCTAATTCCATCATAATTCAAAGCCTATGAGCAACCCTTCACTGCCATAAAGCAAAGGTGAAGCAAATATTCTGCATGATGGGACATAAATCCTAAAATGTTGGCAAGCAGGATCAACAATGAAATTCAGTTTACATGCACTCTTTCAGTGCCCATAATATAGCACTTTTTACAGCTCTCTACTCATGGCTGAAAGGCAGTTGTAGCCTGGCTTAACAAATTTGGGCTGAATTTGGGGCTTCTAGAATTCATTTTGTACTCTAATATTTTGCACTTTTATAACATATTATATCCACTCACTCCTTCAAAAATGTGAAGAACTTACTCTGTGAAGTAAGGAAGTACCCTTATTTTGGTGCAGGAGAAAATGAGGTCTTGCAAAACTGCTAGGCAGGTGTTGCAAAATTCTGTTTTCCTACCTACTTGAGAGCAGTGTTCCCTCTTTATTTTGTTTTAATTTTTTTTACATAGATAAAATGGGTTTTGGGGGGGGGGGGGGTGTGGGTTTTTTCAAATAAAAAATGTGTGTTTGGGGGGGGGGGGGGTTTAGAGTTTTTACACATCTGTGTTCATGGGTGGATTTTCTTGTGCCCAGATTAGTAAATTGCAACAATAATTTCATCAGGCTCAGCCAGATGGATTGTTACCAGACCCACTAGAAAACCTACTTTGGTTCTTCTGCACTATCCATCAGACACAGTGTGAATGTTAATGTCAGGTCTGCAGTAAAACAGCATTAGTGCTTTCAGCTCAACCCCATTATGAATTAAGCTCACATCATACATCCATGACTCTTTATAAATCAGTTGAAGCATCCCGAGTCTCATCATCTTGAAGATGACAAAGGATCTTGCTGTGCCAGTGCCAGCCGGAGGACCTGCTGAGAAGTAGGGCAGTAGTTCTCTTTCCACTGGACTCTGATATCACATCCTACATTTCATACCATCCTACATTTCATACCATGAATACAGGCCAGTAAGCTACTGAAGAAAGGAGGGATGGTAAATTCTGGACTATTAAAGGGTTATAAAAAAATGAATAGTTTACAATAAATTGCCTGGTACTGCTGGATAGCTCTGTCCTTTGGGCACCAGAGGAATGAAGCCTGATTGACAGTACTGTAGTGTAGGTGATTGGTCTGCTTTTCTAGCTCATAACACACCTGAAAAACACCTTGATGAGAGAAGGGTTCATCAGAACAGACACAGAGATGCACTTCTGCTCAGCTGGATCAGAAACGCCTTCTCACACAGAGGAGCTGCAGCTTGTGAACTGTTCAGACAGAAGCATAAGTTTTTAATCCTTTTTTTTTTTTTTTAAATCCAATTAACTCTGCATGCTCATACCAGCTGGGCAAAGGGCGGGAAACAAAGATTGTACTCTGCCATACATATCATCACTAAAACTATTCACAAAAAAAGATGATTCATCTTCTGCAGAGATGACCCTGCAGAAAACGAGGGGGTTTTACAGCAGGGTAGCACAGGGCAGCGCCTGCAGGCTCAGGAGGTACACACAGGAGGTACATACAACTGAGAGCAGAGCTCAACCTCCAGATGAAAATATTACTCAACGGAAACCACTCAGAGTGAGGTCACAGCAGGGGCTGTCAGGGAAATGATCAAAACTCCTGAGAATAGCAAACCAGCAGGGAGCTGAGGCTCTGTGCAGAGACGTGTCACTTCACATCAGCACCTTCCATCCAGCAAAAAGGTCTCTCCTCTGCTGGGATCCTTGTCCCTGGAGCAGTGCAGATGAGAGGATCAGCCCTTGGCACTGTGGGTCTGCATGCAGATGGCCCCGACACTGCATGGTGAGTGCAGACACCCAGCTGCTCTCCTGCCCCACAGCTTGTCTGGGTTTGGTGGGTACCCAGCTACCTGCAGCTGCCTGTGGTTCCTCCAAGCCCTGGCACCTCACAGTTTTGCTGTCTTTCACTTGTATGACTCTCACCAAGGTAGGCAAGTATTTTCTGAAAAAAATCTTTGGCAGAACATCAAATTAAACCTATACCTCATACCCTTGGTTAGGACTATGATCACTCATTCTTTCTCTCTCCACAAAGGCAATAGACTAATGCATAGCTTTTTCATCCCCCTTTGGGCTCTGCCCCTCCAGAACATGCTTGTGAAGGATTAGCAGGCAGTGATCATCTTCAAGAGAAGGATGAGGACTAACATTCATTGCAAAGACGGCTGTTCTCACAGTACTTTCGCAAAGGGATG